AATTATTATTATCACAGTGCCTGAAAATAAATTCCATTGCTCTGGTATTCATAGTACATGAAATTCTCTAGTTTGAGACCAAGTTATTGGTGTGTTTGTCTGGTACATTGTTATTATGGAGCTTACTTTTGCAGTTGTCAAGTTTGATCGAGGTGCCTATACATGCAGTCAAGACAGCGTGGCAGGGGTTTTGCCTTGATCCAGCGGAATTAAGACGCATTCTGTGCATATGTCAAGTTTATCAGAGAGAAGAATACATTCCTTTCTTGCATTTCATCGCTGTTGCTGGTGGGCTTCTCACTAAGGTATCTAATTTAATTTCAAACACAATTTTTTTTAATTTTTTTTTTATAATATCAAGTGACGGGACGAGCAAGTTGTGCGCCTGATGATAAGCTACACGCCTGTCCATAACAGTTGCAGTGTCACTAAAGCCCTGGCTTTAAATCGCAATGATCTGAGGAGCACTGCCACTGCGCCCGTCACCCTGAGACATAAGTTGACAAGTCTCATGTGCTTGTAATTTCACCGGCACCCCACCCTTCCAAACCGGAACACGTAATGCTGACATTACTGCTTAGGGGCAGAAATAGGTAAGGTGGTAGTGTGTCCGTCAGGATGGCTGAACCAAACGAGATGTACAAATCAAACTATGCTCGTTATTTTCTACTATTTAGTACCTTTGTTGACATATTTTCTACTTTTGGGCTAACGGTAATATTAAAGAAATAAAGTGACTAGCCATTCTGACGTCAGGTTGGCTGACCATTTTACGTTTTTCATGGTTCTAGCAGTATATAATTAACCTTCTTTTTTTCCACTATTTCAGGAGGCTTCAAAAAAAGTTATTAAAAAAAAACAATAAAACGCCTTTGCATAAGTTATCTTCTAAAAAACAGTACAGAGTACTAAAAAACCGACCTCAAAAGTCATTCATCCCCTAGTTTGCCACCTTTAGAGGTGGAATATTTTATTCAAATTTAAATGGGTCTCATCTCGGGTACCTTTATTTCCAACAAAACAAGAATCATCGAAATCGGTTCACAAATGAGTTATAGCGTAACATACATACAAAAGAAAACATGCAGTCAAATTGAGAACCTCCTTTTTTTGAAGTCGGTTAAAAAGACAGTTTGTCTTCTCTATTGCTGCTAATACATTTGGCTTACATTCATTCAATAAATAACGATAGATGTGGGATAACAAACCATTGTAGAAATTAATAAGTATACCCATTAACTTACAAATAAATGGGCGACGGGTCTAATACAAAAACCACGAAAAACATGCCCTAAGTCAACCTATTTAAACGTAGTGACATGTAAAGGAATATGAAAAAGCTAAAACGTTGAATTTAAATTGTAATGTCATCGCAGTACTGTCTAATTTTGCTTGCTTCGCTGTCGACGTTACGACGTTACGACGAGTAAAGCGTGAATGACGCTCTGTATACGATTTTAACGCCCTATAAGTTCGGACACTTTTTAGCGCGGACCCGACGTCCATATAATTGTAAGTCAATGAGTATACCTAAATTTTTATCCCGTCCCATGACGTAGTTTTTATAAAAAGAAAATGCCATCACTGCCATACCAGTAACAGTCTACTAGGACTCAACTGCCACTGCAACCAGATTTTAGCAGAATAACAAATATTATGATAATTGCAAATAAAAAAATATTACAATCTCAGTGAAGTCTCAAAAGGAATTACAATGACCAGTTGTTTCGTGGACATTAGCCAGTCTTGGGACCAAACACACCAACGTTCCGGACCCTTTGCAGGTCCCACTGTCACGGCTGACAGAGATGGTAAAGGCCACCAACCAGTTATGTGTAATTATTAATGCAATCCATCCTATTTTCCACTACATTTACAAAAGCCATAGTTTCAAAATTGATATTTTTAATTTACTAAAGAACATTCCAAGTTACATTACACATGTTTCGCAAAATATTTTTTACTAAATTATAATTATTAATGAAAAGGAAATTAGAAATAAATAAAAATATACCAATAAGTATAACTGCAGCGTTGTCTCAGTAACATTTTGTTTATCTCAATTATAATAGGTTATTTTTTTCGTAATTTAATTTAAAATTACCACGAGCTTTTCGGTGAAGGAAAATAACGTGATGTAGATCGTAGGTGGTTCACAACTCTCGGAATCTCTCGTCGAATCCAGCTCGGATGGGCAGCGTTCGAGAAACTACAAAAAGTCTTCGCGTCCAAATTTCCTCACTATCTCAAGACGAAAGTCTTTGACCAGTGTGTGTTGCCAGTGATCACATATGGATCAGAAACGTCGTCCCTCTCTATGGGCCTCATAAGAAGGCCCAAGGTCACTCAGCAGGTAATCGCGTACTAAAAGGTTCGGTGGCTCCTTTCTCTGCCGCACGGTTGACAAATGGAACTCCCTTCCGGCACATGTCTTCCCTCCCTCTTATGATATGGGGTCCTTCAAACGAGGCGTGAAGAGGCATATTGTAGGCAGGCAGGGTGGAGGTGGCTAGTGCAGTGAGGATTTCATCGCTGCACTAGGTTCCTTCGCGTTTGGATACCATTTTCCACTTAACATCAGGTGGAGTGGAGTCATTTGCCTGTCATGTATAAAAAAAAAAAAAAAAAAAAGGAGAGAGCGTTGCTCGGTATTTTCCTACGTGATAGAATCAGAAATGAGGAAATCCATAGGAGAACTAAGGTAACCGACATAGCTCAAAGAATTGCTCAGCTGAAGTGGCACTAGGCGGGGCACATGGCTAGGAGAACCGATGACTGAATGATAATAATGATAATGAACCCTCGGAAAATGTATAAAAACCCCAGCCTGGATTGCGCCAGCGTAGCGGACTTATACGGCCTGGACCTTCGCCCGAGAGGAGATCCGTACTCAGAAGTAGGATGTATAAATGGGTTGATTATGATTTTTTCCTATGTATCTATTTTTTTCAAGAAACATGCTTTTTACTAACTAATCAATATTAAAAAAAAATTAATGTTCCAGAGCCTAACTCACACAATGATACTGCTATGCGAATCTTTGACCAGAGAACCGGACGGCGGATCAGCCGCCATTCCGGTGATGGACTTTCTAACCATGTACCGGTTTCTGGCCAGGATAGACGCTTCCAAAGACGTTAAGTACATCGACGGGTATATGGAAGGTAGGACATCGTAATTATCTTATAAATGTTGACAGCCTTCTATCAGTCAATGCAAACGCGCGATGCAGTCGCTTATGTTCAATCATTAAGGGCGCGTTCAAATTAGCCACTGTTAGCTGCGCTGCAACAGCGGCCGCGCGACAGCCGCGCGATTGTCACTTTTGATACAATTTCTAGAAGCGCTGCAACCGCGCGGCGGCCGCGCGACAATCGCGCTGCAGTCACGCTCGGTTGCAGTCACGGTTAGTGAGGTGTACATTTTTTTAAATTAACTACGATGGACGAAAATCGAGTTGAAGAATTTATAGAGAATGTAAAAAAAACCTGCAATATGAGATATCAGTTCCGCCAGTTATTATAATCCACTGGAAAAAAAGGCATGGGAGAATTTATGTCGAATTTTATTGACAATTTTGAAACTAAAACTACAAATGAAAAAAACATAGCAGGTGAGTCATTTTTAATACGTATACGTGAAGTGTGTGCCCCAAGAACTCTGGCCCCCCTAACTATATTGCCGAACTTTGTAGTATTCATTTTGATTATTTTGACAAAATAAAGGTAACGAACGCATTCTAATACGTTCTGGTGTTATTTTTTTCTTCACTTTTGACAAAATAAGTAAAAGTAACGTTTCTTTGTCAGAATCCGCCGTGTAACTGAGTCGAAAGATAAAACATCACTAAAAATTTGGTCGCACTTCAGCAGCGCGGCAGTCGCGCGGCCGCCGCGCGGTTACAGCGCGACTGCCGCGCGGCTGCAGCGATGCTGCAGCGTGTCTAACAGCGGCTAATTTGAATGCGCCCTAATAACGTGGATCGCGTTTGCACCGCCATTGCACCGCGATTGCAACGTGTTTGCATCGCGTTTGTAAAGGTACACGCCGTGTGTAAAGGTAGACGACTAGCGACTGAATCGCGAATCAAATTCCAATAAATTTCAAATTAAAAAAAAAGCGCACCGGTTTTCATGGTATCGCCATCTCTGAAGTCCAGGGTTGGATCCTCGGCCGGGTCAATGTAGAAACTAACTTTACTATATTGTCTCAGGTCTAGGTGTTTGTGGTACCGTGGTTTCTGATTTCCATAACACAAGTGCTTTAGTTACATAATTTGATCGATCGGATCGGAGAAACGTCTTAAATAATGCGAGTAACTTGCCAGATAATTAGATGAAACGCCAATATTGAGTTGGAATGATGGATTATTCAATTCATCAGGCTGTCTCAGGCCTTACACGTCTGAATGAACGTGTTTCCTATAATAATAACACACTCGCTCAACATAGGCCCGCACTAGGGAAACTCTGTGTCGCGGGTGCCACGGACACTCACATAGACAACCACAAATTACACCCAGATTCACGAGACAAATAAATGTATGCCACACAAATATTGTTCCCAGCCCGGGAATCGAACTTGGGACTTCTGCGTGGCAGTCCGGTGTGGTAACCGTTTCGCCACAGACGCAATAACTAAAGCAACATGTATAAACTCTTGAAAACAAGTCAACTTTAACTGGTGTTTTGTTTTAAAGGTTTTGAACCTGACGTTACGGAAGAACTGGTTGATGAAATAGAGTCTGTGCAAGAGCCTCAGGGCCAAGTAAGTAAAGTATATTTTTCAAGTTTTTTTTAATCTAAAAAAATATTATGAATGCGAGAAACAGACCGTATGACTGTGTATTATTACTTCAAGTATACGAAATATGTTTTCGAATTTTCGTAAATTTACACTGTCATTTTAAGCGTGAAACACATATAGAACGGGTTCGGATCAGGCGCGTGTCGGGTCGGGACAAAAACACACCAAACGCGGGCCGTGCGCTCTTCCCGCGCCCGCGCTCGGTGTGTTGTCGTCCATATAAATACACGGAATTAGGCCCGCCGGGGTCCCGACCCGATACGCGCCCGACTCGCGCCCGATCCGTACCCGCAGTCTGTGTGTTTCGTTGCAGTAGAGCTCCTTAATTATTTCTGTAGGGTGCTGGTGAAATTATAGGCACATGGAACTTGTTAACTTATGTCTCAGGGTGACTGCCCATAAGATATAAAACTCTAAGTGGCACTGCAATTCTATTGTGGTCGGGTGTGTCGCTGACCATAAGGTGCATGACTTTTTTTCCCGTCATTTACTATGATAAAAAAAAATAATTTGGCAATATTGCATAAGGTGTACAGGGTGCATCAGCAAGGGCAGCTGCCTTAACCGTTGTAGCTACAGGAAAACGGTTCTTGAAAACGGTAGTTCATGAATTTTGAAGATATTTCGATCTGCATTCACAGATTTTGAAAAGTAGTCTGAGCTCAATTGGTTCCATAGAGGCTTGATCTTTACGAAAAACTTTTTTCACACCATTCCATTCTTTTGGATGGAATGGTAAGAAAATTTTTGTGTAAAATTGCCTTTTATATTGTTGACATTAGCAAGAAAGTCTGGAATTTTAATAACTTTTTAACGAAGTGACGGGACGAACAAGTCGTGCACCTGTTGGTAAGTGACACGCCTGTCACAGAAACCTGTAACAGTTCCTGAGCCGCTCAGTGCTTTATATCGCAAAATAAGTTGAAAAGTCGCATGTGCCTGTAATTTCAGCAGCACCCTTACACTCCAAAACTAGAATGCAGTAATGCTCACTTTGTATAATAATATCAAAAATCTCGCTCACGCAGCAGTTGAGACGGACAAGCGCCCGAGAAACAAATTTTTTCGTCGTAAATCGAATCTTACCATACCATTGCGAGAAAATTTTACTTTTTATTTTGAAAATTGTTACCCTGCGCTGAAAAATCCGAACAGAAGGTAAAAAAACCGGACAAATCCGATGGATGGTAACTCTATACTGGGCTAACACTTCCCATGCCCTATTTATCCATCCCTATCCTCGCTTCTAGATATCAATCGACGATTTCTGGGAAGAAGATAAAGCAGGACTTCATAAAATATACCTAGTCGACGATAATGTGCCGACAGCACCAAAAATCAGTGATAAACTACAGAAACCTATTATTGGTGCTGTGTCTCGATCACCTTCCGTAGAAAGAGCGGCTGATATTGAGAGAGAAAATTACTTAAAGGATAGAAAAGGTTACCTTACAGTATCATCTATTGTATTGCAAAGAGTTATGCAACATAACCTTAAGGTGCTTTTCCACTGGCGCCGAAGCGAGCCGAGAATTGAAACCTCGCTGGCCTATTGCTACCAAAAATTGCCATTAATTTGATATCAATAGCCATCGCGACCTCGCGCTGAAGTTGTTGTCGATAATAAAATAAAAATAAAGAAAATTACTAATAAAGTAAATTAATTGAATTTTTTATAAAATATAAGTGCGCATTTGACCTCCATCTCACCTGATGGAAAGTGACGATGAGGTCGACGATGGAGCATGCACGCCTAAATAATACCTATTCACTCTCGCCTTGAAAAGGCCCAAGTTATAACGTTCAAGGAACAAATCTGCTGGCAGGGAATTCCACTCCATAGCAATTCGCCATATAAATGTGGAAGCGTAATGCTTCGTGCGAATCTTTGGAATATCCACAACATAGGGGTGGAACCCAAGCCTACGCCTAGTCCCCCGATGATGGAAAGGCGAAGGCGGAATCTCTCTCACACACACTCTCCGTGATATACCCTAAAAAAAAATTTACGGAAAATTTTTTTTTATCCTAAATTGTACGTATTCCACAATCTCGCGATTTATATAGATACAGCGAGATATCGCGTGAATCTTGTTTCCGTTGCAGAGTTAATAACTCTATGGAGGTAGCAATAAGGTTCAATACAACACCAACGCCATTTCAATTCTCGTCTCGCTTCGGCGGTGGAAAAGCATCTTAAGTATGGTATTTGACAATATTTTTAACATTAAAAAAATTCGAATTAAAAAATAATAGCTATGGCAGTTGAATAGTCGCTCGATGGCTAGCTACTGACAAGCTACTATTCTTAACTCTTACCTGAATACCAAACATACAAAATCCTGCCATCGACGCATAACTGAGGTGATTTAAAATTTCTAGACTTCCTGGATTTCGTTCTAATGTTATGATAGATATGGCATAGAAGAAAACATAATTTTTTATTGCTTTAGTATTATAGAGAGAAGATTTAAGTAATTTGTTTTCCAGGAAAGCCCCCCATTGACCAAGAAGCTGAAGTTAGTTGAAATCTTGTTTATATTATATAGTGTAATGAATGGTTTGATGTACGTAATTCGTATAACGCACTCCATTGGATACAGAAAAATATAACCC